CACTTTGTAGGTCAGCAGCATTGTTGGCATTCAGGAGCTTTGCAAACACACTTATTATCAATCAGTATCACACGGTTACTTGATATTCTTCTGCAAATCTCACACCTGGCTTCTGACAAGAAAAAATAAGAAAGGCAGTAGAGAAATTGTGATGCTGTGATATCTTGCTTAATGGCTGCAGTGGAAGTAAAGTTGTAAGTCCGTCATGGTCATGATGTTAATGCTTTAGTGACAGAGTTGCGGTGGTGATTACACAAGGACCATTTGTAATTGATTATTTCTATTTTAAATGAATATACTAATTGTAAAATGTATTTATAATGATAATCTCTGCTGTTCTTTCTACAACAGATATATTGTAGAAACTGAATGTTATCAAATTACAGATAGTCTTCAACTTACAACCACAACTGAGCTCAACATTTCTGTTGCTAAGCAAGACAGTTGTTAAGTGAGATTTGCCCCTTTTTATGAACTTTCTTGCCATAGTTGTTAAGTAAATCACTGCAGTTGTTAAGTTAGTAGCATGGTTGTTAAGTGAATCTGGCTTCCCCAGTGACTTTGCTTGTCAGAAGGTTGCAAAAGGGGATCACATGACCCTGGGACAGAGCAACCGTCATAATTTTGCCAGTGGCCAAGCATCCAAATTTCGATCACATGATCATGTAAGTCATAAGTATATTAAATTATCATAAGTCAATTTTTCAGTGCTGTTGTAACTTTGAATGGTTATTAAATGACTGGTTGTAAGTAGAGAACTACCTGTATAGATTTGTAAAAAATGAATAATTAGCGTATAACTATTCTTTTTAAAGACTGACAAATATAAAACATTTTTTTAAAAAAAAAACCTTAAGGAAGGTGATGACTTTATAATGGGTGCCTTTTTAATGTTCCTGGTTTTGTTCCGTCATTCATCTTTGCTTTTTCTCTAGGTGAAGCTGCACTACGAGGAGAGCCCAGGATGCAGTCTCTCCCCATATCTGCTGCTGCGACCAACCATAGGACTGGGCCACCCCCAATCAGTCCTTGCAAAAGGAGGTTCAGCATGGACCAAGGAGAGGATGATCTAGACTGCGAAAAGGAACACGTACCTAAAATGAGTCGATTATTCAGTCCTCATCTGTAAGTTTATCGTTTTCATTTCTGCTGCTCTCATTAAGCCCACCAATGCTGTTATTATTTAGAAAGCAATGTACTCAAGTTTGTTCAAATATTACTCTTCTTTTTTTTTCTTTTTTTGGTTTGAAAAGTGACAATCCAGCAATGAATCACTTTGTTCAGTTGCACAGAGCCAAGATATAGTTGCCTTCCAGAATTGAGGTTGCACATTATGTTGTACTCAGATAAGTCGGAAACCTTCAGTTTCTTTATGTTGGATGATAATAAATGAGGACACAAAAATGTTGACATGAGAATATAGTTAATTGTAACAGTGCTCTAACATGGTTCTTCCATTGCATTTTACTTTAAGTGTTAGTCTGAAGAGTGGCTGTGTTTTTCTGATGCAGTCTTACAACTGCTTTTAGTTCTGGCTTACACGCTAGGTTGAAAACCCAAAACTTCAAAATACCTTGCAGGGGGCCTCCTAATTTCATCATTCAATAAAGCATAAGTTCTGTTCCCCCTTTCCATCCGCAGCATTAGTTCTACTTATTCCTGCTGCTACAAAATGCTTAGCTGTGTTTTAAAATGCTACTTCTGTTTGCTCCCGTGATCCCATATGTGTTAAGTCTTACTACCACTCCGAGAGAAGAAAAACTGTGTGGGTGTGCACATGCGTATACAGACACAGGCCAGGAAACTTAAGAACAGCTGCTGGGCAAGCTGTACACCAACAGCTGGTTTCATAAAGATAGTTTGCTGCATGCTTTCATTCTCCACATGCCAGCAGAGTTTTGTACTGTTTTCTGGAAAAGAAAAAGATGATTTTCCTTCCTGGGCACAGAACTGCGATTGGCCTGAAGAAGAAGCTGAGAGGATTCCTTTCATTCCTTACTAGAGGAAGTGATTGGAGTACTTCAGCCAAGCCAGCTTGATAACTATGTGCTTTCCTGGCTGCCTTAGCCTGACAAGCACTCTGCATTCCTTACATTCTACTCCGCTTGGGGATTGTTGTGTTCAGTCATAAAATGTAGACTGAGTATTTCTCTTCAAATAAATCGCAGAAGCCTTAGTCAGAAGCCTGCAGACTGCAGGCTTGGAATGCGTGACTAATAAAAGCTTCAGTATTTAAAAAAAAAAAAAACTCGTAGAGAGTGAAAAGTGCCCTCCCCCCCTTTCCTGTTTTATATACAATCAGTTAATTGCTTTAAATTGTTGCTTGATTTATTATCTTAATGTTTCTTTCGACTGCCATCTCACTTTATATAGGAAAATTTATACAGTTGTATTATCGTTGAATTTGATGACTTTGGAATTAATGAAAGTAAATAATAATAATAATAATAAAGGTGTGCAGAATGTATCATTTAATACACATACATGGAATTTGATAAGCTAAAATCACCTAGTATTTTGAAGTTTATTTGTGTGTGAAGCCATAAAATTGAATTCCACTCAGTGACATGTATCTCATTTTCATGAACATTTCATGAATATTCAGATTTACAAAAAAAAAATCAAGTTTTATAGCACTTTCAGAAGTTATTGTAGTGTTCTTATTTGTATCTTTTTCTATGGCTTTTGGCAGAGTTGTTTAAAAAAAATTAAGAGATCAGGTCAAATGTACAAAAAATAAACAGTATTTTGCTTGGCAACACCCAGATACAGTTTGGCTGTGATTAATATTTTTATGTTCTTTGTGTTGCATTTGTAGGAAAGGGAGAAAAGCTATGCTGCCATGATTTAAGAGCATTGCAAATTACAGATGAATTGGAGAGTAGTATTTTTGTTTGGCCCTATTATAAGAAATCTTACATAGCACAAGTTATTTATTAGCACTGCAAGAAAACAAGCAAGCTCAGAGAGCACCAATGACCCCACAAGTTATTTATTGTTTATTTTCTAATGTCTTAGCTGAATGTTTCATATTGAATTTCCAGCGAAGGAAATTTCATTCAGATAAAGTTGTATCATTGTAGCTATATCTGAACGAAATTTCCTTCCTTTCTTAATAATACTAAAACCTGTGGGGGTAGCCAGTGAAGTAGAAGGGTGGAGGATCAAGGGGATCAAAATGATCCATGTCTTCATCCAATATTTCAACTATTTTAAGATGTAAGTTTGACCATAAGATGCATGAGTTTGAATAGGAATGGAATATTTTTCCATAAAGAAGAGCCGAGGTGGCGCAGTGGTTAGAGTGCAGTACTGCAGGCCACTGCAGTTCAGCGGTTCAAATCTCACCGGCTCAAGGTTGACTCAGCCTTCCATCCTTCCGAAGTGGGTGAAATGAGGACCTAGACTGTGGGGGCAATATGCTGACTCTGTAAACCGCTTAGAGAGGGCTGAAAGCCCTATGAAGCGGTATATAAGTCTAACTGCTATTGTTATCATCTAAAATTGGCAGTGGCATTTGACTGTATTGGGCATATTTGGGATCAGTTTATCCTATGGTATTTCAGAAACTCTCAACTAGGTAGTTTAATATTTATCCTTTGATATTAACTAAATTAACTTATGATGATTTATTAATTTGTTAGCTGTTAATGCAAGTTTGTCACCTTAAAGTGATAAGAGAAGCTGACAGTGGCTGTTGTGACCACTGAAGGAAAACACAAATTATCTAAGATGCTGGCCTCATTTAGGTTCCATGTTTCATTTCCAATGGAAATAGAATAATCAGGGATTTTCCAAATAGTGACCACACATACTTCTGGGCTTCTAAGTCTTCCCCAATCTTATGCTCCACTGGCATATTGTATGTCAATGCCCCAAATCATTAGCAACTATTGATACTTCCGAAAGGCACCAGTTCAGGTAATATTACTGTAAACTTCAATTTGTTTTTTAGTCTATGATCCACCCCTTCTCCTACAAAAAGGCAAGCTGGAAAATGTTAATGGTCTTTCTAAAATATCAGAGCTTTCGGACTAAAGATGAATTATTTATTCTGCTAATCTGCCATGTATTCCTTCAATTATGACAATTCACTTAGCAACAGTTCAAAATTATGATATTACACACACAAACACACACACACACAAAAGTACTTACAACCTGGTCCCGAAGTTACATATGTTGCAGTACCATGGCCTTACAACTGACTGCAACATGCCCCCTGCCTATTTCCCACCCCCCATCCTGCCCCGCTAGGTCCCCAAGGGCATGGGCCTGCTTTGCTAGTCCACAGGTTTTCATGTGCTTCCCCCCACTCCATTACCAATCGTTCACTTCACTTTCAAAGATTCTCAGAGCTAAAGATATCAAGGTAGGAAAGATCAGGCTAGGCCACAATGGAAGAAAAATGGCCATCTTTTTGCAGTTGCTAGTGCAGCTATTTCCTTCCATTGCTAAATGCTAGCCTTCTCTTCCCCTCCACCATTAGTCTTACATTAGCAGTGCTAATGGTGGGGGGGGGGAAGGCATGCAGCAATGGAAGACCTCCCTTTCCTACAAGCTTCTCTCCTCTTCACAAAAGTGCCTTTGCATCCTTACGCACGATTCTTCCCTTCGCAAAGAGGGAAATGTGTATGTTTGTGTATGTATGCGCGTGTGCATCCTTACATACACTTGTCTTTTCTGCCACATGGCCCATCCTATTCTCCTTTCCTACCCTGATGTGGTAGGAAAGGAGCTTGGACATCTTTAAAATGTAAGTGATGATAGCGATTGGTATGGAGAAGGCCCAAGAGCTGTGGAGACCCCAAGGTGTGGGAAGCACAGCATGAGATACCTCATTGAGTGGAGTATAGGTGGTCGGTGGCAGGTGGTCTTGTTTTTGCACTAACCCCCCCCTCCATTCTTCTCCATCCCTGAGGTACACAATATGCACTTAACAACCTGGGCATTCAATTAACAAATAGCCTTGGGTGGAGCAGGGATTGGGGCTCGTTCACTTAACGTGATACATCCTCCTGGGTTACAACCATAATGGACAGACTCCATTATGCTTGTAACATGAGATCTACCTGAAAAACCCAATAATACCTACTGGTTTTATAGTTAATTTAACTTGCTCTCCAGTATCCATAATACAACTTTGAGGTCCTGTTAAACTTTCCCAAGTTTTGAAATATTATTTCTTTTGGTTGGTAGTTATGCCCTGTGCAAATGTTTATCAAGTGAAAAATTAAAAACCCATACCAACACCCCCTCCTTAATTGCAGAATGTCTGCAGTTTTATACATCTGGTCCAGTTTATTTTAGGTTGAAAGTATCTGGAGGTTGCTGTGCCAGTGGAATGCTAATTATGTGTTGTCTCTTAAAGTTTAAACTGAGGTCTCAGGCCTGACTTATGTTGTATGCATTTTTCATTTGTTAGATCAGAGGTATTTTCTCCTTTTCATAGTTTAGCTGAAAACAAGGCTCCCTTTATCCTTAGAGGGAGCTCTTAATAGCTGACCTCAGCCTTTCCACAGGAGGTATTATTTCTGCCTTAAAAGTCTTCTATGCGGAGCTTTATCATTCTTCCTCAGGTCATTTTCCTCAGGTTAAGAAATAGACAAACAACAGCAAATGTAAAGGTAACAATATTACTTCAGACTTTTTGAACTTTTAAATAGGACCTTTTTAGTTTAGTTTATTGGATTATATTGTTTGTATGTTTTTATGCATTCATATGAATTTATCGGGTCTATGACAACTCACCATAGCCAGCTGGCTGCGGCCAACTCAACATAGGCAACTCGCCACAGTCAACTTGCCATGCCAACCTGCTGTAGCCAACTCGCCACAGGAGAACTTGCCATGGTCAACTCAACATGGGACAACTCACTGTGGAACAAGAGTTATCAAAGAAATGGTGGAATAGAATTAAAGGATGCAACAGGAAGGACAGAACAAAATGTGAATGACAAAAATTAAAATATTTTTTATTTATTTTAAATAATTAATTGAATTGTTAAATTGTTCTATGGCGAGTTGTCCCGCAGTGAGTTGGTCATGCTGAATTGGCAATGGTAAGTTATCCTGTGGGAGTTGACCATGGTGAGTTTGTTGTGGTGAGTTGGTCATGGCGAGTT